ACTTCCAGCACTATGTTAAACAACAGCGGTGAGAGTGGGCATCCCTGTCGTGTTCCTGATCTCAGGGAAAAAGCTCTCAGTTTTTCCCCGTTGAGGATGATGTTAGCTGTGGGCTTTTCATAAAAGGCTTTTATGATCTTTAAGTATGTTCCTTCTATCCCGACTTTCTCAAGGGTTTTTATTAAGAAAGGGTGCTGGATTTTGTCAAAGGCCTTTTGGCAGGGAAATGATTTTAAAGGAGTTTATTTGTTATAAGGTATACCAACAATTTGTGTATATATTTCACCAAGTTGGTTAAATTTGCACTTCTTTTCCATGAAGTAAATGACTTCAGCGTAGGTCACTTCACAATTTACATGAGGAAGTATAAGATTTCATCATAGTGAATGTAGTTGTTCTGATACTCAGGTGTTGTGATTCTCCTCCAAAATCTTGCCCTCAAATTTAGAATAAAATCAAAACTTCTTTGGCCCATGTACCTATTTCTTCAACCTCCTCTAACACATGTTTTTCTTCAGTAGTTTTACTCCAACCACATTGACTTCTTACTGTTCCTCGAACTCACAAACTTGTCATCTCAGGACAAGTTATACTTGCTTGTTTCTCTGCCAGGCTTGTTCTTTCCTAGAAGTTGGCTTGACTAGATCAGAATAAAGCTTGGCACATTATAAGTGCTCAAAAGCTATTGATAAACAAATGATGGGTAAAACAATGAATGACTGGTTAGATGGATGAATTTTGTAGGGAAAAACCCTTTTATTAATGTATTCCCTGATTTTTATTGCATTAGTACTTTCAGTCTAATTTGTATGATTGGAGGTTAAAGGTAGAGGTCACCCTGGAAAACGCTCTGAGAGTTCTGTTTGCTTTTTGAATTCCTCAGTTTCATTCAGTTGCTTTTTTTTCCCCCTCCAAAATGGATTTCTACTTTATTTGAATTTTGATCAGTTTGATTTATTTACTCTAGATGATGTATGTTTTATGGTTGTGCACCAGCTTAAACAATGTCCCAATACTCTGAAATTCCTCTCTCTCTCAGAGATCTTATGCTTCCCCCAAACTATTTCCTAATTGTGAGTAGAATCTTAGCCTGGAGGGGACCATGGAAATAATCTATTTTTAAGCCTGACCTTTTGCAGAAATCCTTTAAAACATTTCTGCAGGTGATCATCCAGATTTTGTTTAAGTATCTCCCTTGACAAGGGACCTGTCCTTAAAAAGACAACTGATGCTTATAGAAATGAGTCACTTGAAATATGCAGGGAAAAGATCTGTTTTCCCCATAGGAGATTAATCAAACTGATTGATTAGAAATGAAAAGGGCTGTGTTTTGAGATTTGGATTACATAGACATATGAAAAATGGAAAGAAAACAACTATTTTGGATCTGTTTGAACCATTTAATGTTTAGCGAACTGGAAAATAGAAATTGAATTGTGTAAATTAGAATCTATGACAGATTTAGATAAATAATCTAAGAAGTTCTTTGTTCCATTCCCATTTAAACGAGAGTAATTATTATTCATGGCAAAGTGGTACTCTGGAAGACTCCCTTTTGATATTATAAAATATTTCTCCTGAATCTTCTAGGACCTCCCATAAATATTAAAATTGCTTTCATGGAGTTACTTAGCTGTCAGTAACATGGAACCCATTAGTACGTTAAAAATAAATAAAGAAGGTCCTCAGATATTCCTTCTCTTATAAATAAACATATTTATTAAATAATATTTTATTTTCAATAAATTGAATTTGTTCTGTTTTCTGCTAAATAAGTACTTTATATAGCTTTCAATACATAGGAATAAATAAAAATGTTTATGAATATGTGGGGGCATGTACACACACACACACACACAAACATGTACACACCAACACACCTATACACAAAAACATGCTCCCCTTGAGGCTTACACTAAGTTACCAATTTAACATTGTCCTCACCAGTTGAAGCCAGGGAGTGTCAGGCTGGACGCTTGCCTCAGTTATAGAGCTTGATTATAAGGCAGCAGAAAGTACCAAGCCTTTAGAGTCGGCTTGGCAATTCTCTTGTTGGAGAACCAATTAAATAAATGGTTTGGATTGCCATTCATAAATCATAACTCCCATAAATTCTTAGGCAGGGAAATGGTTTTAAAAGAGTTTATTTGAAATGACATGTATCAATAATTTGCACATTTCACCAAGTTAGTTAAATTTTCAACTTCTTTTCCTTAAAAGTAAATGACTCCACTGTAGGTCTCTTCACAATTTACATGAGGAAATACAAGAAGTTTTTATCACAATGCATGTTGTAGTTCTGATGCCCAGGTGTTGTGAGTTAGCTTTTAGAAGGAGGAAGCCCTGACACATAGATGGTCATGCGTAACCAAGCTTTAATTAATGTCAGGATCCCATAAAAATTCAGTTACATTCATGATTCAAACTACATAAATTACTGTGCCATTAAATTTTAATGGATTTTATTTACGTTCATTGGTAATGTGTGTGTAAGGAAGAGAAAGGGAGAAAAAAGGAGAGAGACATTTCTTTTCTAAGACAGTTTTATTTTTTTTAATTTTTTTTTAATGTTTGTTTATTTTTGAGACAGAGAGAGAGCATGAACGGGGGAGGCTCAGAGAGAGAGGGAGACACAGAATCTGAAGCAGGCTCCAGGCTCTGAGCACAGGCTCTGAGCCTCACCACAGAGCCCGACACAGGGCTAGAACCCACAGACCATGAGATCATGACCTGAGCCAAAGTCGGACGCTCAACTGACTGAGCCACCCAGGCACCCCAAGACAGTTTTACTGAAATTAAACTGTTTAACCCTTCTCTTTGCAAAATAACTTCACATTTGACTTTAAATTCATTACTTGGGTTTAGCTATTGAGGGTCCTTATATTCTCAAAAATGACCACCACTGGGGTGATCTTTAGTTCTTAAGATTATTCCTACTTAGTTGTTCAAAAGCACTGTATAGTTGGAAGTTAACTTAAGAAGGTTGCACAGGTGTCTTTCATCAGTTTACAGAGGAAGTAAATTCTCTCACATAGATGAGAGATATTTTTAAAGTTTATTTATTTATTTTGAGAAAGAGAGTGGGGAGGGGTGGAGAAAAACAGAGAGAATCCCAAGCAGTCTCCACGTTGTCAACTTAGAGCTTGATGCAGGGCTTGATCTCAACGAAGTGTGGAGATCATAACCTGAGCTGAAACCAAGAGTCAGGCACTTAACTGACTGAGCCACCCAGGTGCCCCAAGATATTTTTAATAAAATTCATCATAAAAATTATAATTCTTTGGGTCTCAGTTGAGCAGTGACTATTTTAACTTTGATCTTAAATACCTGAAATTCCTCAGTTTCTTTGGGAGTGTGTTCTTATAGGGTAATTAAGATTGCTGTACAATGACTTCACATATTTAATTTTAGGACTTACACCGCCTATTGAGTAACCAGAAATTTCAAGTAAATAGGATTTTTATTTCCTCATGCTATTCTTGCTGCCTTGACTATTATTCTACCATTATCAGCTTCAGTGAGCCTTTTCAGGGAAGACTCCTCCAATGCTGCAGACTTGTCCAGATTCCTCTAATATCTTCTCTCAGGGTACTTGTTTTTCTCACTATGAGCTCTTATCACAACTGTAATAAAATTGTTACCTCTGTAACTAGTTTACATGTTTCCCCTGGCACACAGCCACAATACTATGCAACATTCATATAGCTTTCTTGAGAAAACAAAATCTGTAGTAATAAAGAACAAATTGTGTTTGTGAAACGATATTTATGTGACAGGAGGTTAAAATAGGGCAATTTCGGGTTCTTTTGCAGCTGAAAGGCAAGGTTTTGGAATTTTAGACGTACACCTGCATACAGACTTTGCCACAGAGATGCCTTTATTGCTCTAGACCCCAGTTTTTTCAGTTATCCAAGCACGGTAGGCTGTCACTCGCGTATATACTCCTGGCTTATCTGGCAGACCACATTGATCCCCCCAGCTTACTATCCCCACAAGGAACCAAAGCCGCCGTGAGTCCTCTTGAACTAGTGGGCCACCAGAGTCACCCTGAAAGAAACACAATGATTGAATTTAAGTGTGAGACCACCCTGAAGTATTAAGGAGTTTATTTCTGTCAGTAGAAGTCACACTCAGTATGACAATAAAAATAATCTGACATTTCCTGTTGAAATGTTACAGCAAGTTGAAATAGTGTACCAATTTCATGTGAAAATTAACCAAAATCCTTTAAGAACACACACTGTTCCTTCCTCAGGTGTGAGAAGATGAGGTGCATGTTTCCCAGACTGTCCTCAGTCACTTGGTGGACTGCTTCCCATCCCAGACTTTACCTCCTCCAGGAAGCTTTCACAGGGCTGTGCCTTCTTTCCCACCGCCACCCCTTCTAGCTTTGGGTTGGGTTGGTTTTTTACTTCCTGTGTTCCACATCTTGTGTGTATCTCTTTCACCACTTCTATATTATTTTATGCAAACACATTGTATGCCTGTTTGAACTTACTCCCTTGCACCAATTCCCCTTGTGACAGCCGCACATTGCTGCAAAACTCACAGCATTTAGTATACTTATTCATTGTCTGTTTTTCTGGTTATTCTGTAAAGTCTGCCAGGGAAGGCATACTTATTCTGGACCCTGCTATATCCTAAGCTTCTAGCTCACAGGAGATGCTAAGCAAATATTTGTTGAATGGATGAAGTTTCATTTATCTTCCTATTCATAGTACCTGCATGGTGTCTGATGCATAATAATATATCATCAAAAAGTATTCTTTGGTGAATAATCACAAAGAAATTTATAAGGCAATGAGTAAAACATTCCTTATGAAATACTGGCCAATTATAATAACCCAACCAACAAATATTTGTACATGCAATAATCTAGCTGGGGAGACAAATTTAGTCCATTTTACATGCTGCATGGTAGATTGAGTCTGTGGGTTCTGGAGTTAGATAGACTGGGTAAGAAGAATTCTCCACTTCTCAGCCATATGACCTTCAGTAAAGTATTTAATAGCTTTTCTGATCTCAGTTTCCTCATCTATGAGTAATGTTTCTATATGTTTAAATGAGTTTTATACATGTAACACTTCCAGTATAGCCTGGCATACAGTCTGTACTACTAATAAAAGCCAACTATTATCAAGTGTGCTTTTAGAATGCTTTGCTATTCATTTGACTACACTTTGTAGCTAGCTCTTCTAATTACTGGTTTAGATTGGGAGAAGGGTCAGTGTGTGAATCACCAATCGCATGGCAAGCACTGCATGGAGCTGATTGGCACCTGCCTCCTTCAGGTTGTGTGTTCGTGCTCCAGCTACCCAGTTCTTTTTCATCGTTGTGCTTCTGCTGCTATTCTTTCTAGTAAGGAATTTCTCTGCATAATATCTAAGAGTGGACGAGCAGGTGTTAAACTAAGAGGGACATGTAATTTATCCTGTATCTGGACAGCTTCACTGCCTGGTTGTGCAGGCATTTTAACTTGTGTTCCCTCTTCTAGACTATAGCCCTGATGAGTGCAGGGAACACATAGTTGTCTAGCACTGTATCTGGTGCACAGAAAACATACAATTTCTATGAATAAATGAACTGAAACAAGTATGATCTCATAATCTCTTTTGTAAAGTGCTAGTTCTTTCCGATGCACAAACTCTATGTATTGTAGTATTTCAGCTGAAAATTAGTGAGGTCCAGAGTGGAACACATAGGGGGAATTTCATGATGACTTGATCTAGGCTTGAGGGGAAGAGTGGAAATTGTGTATGCAGAAGGAAAGGGACATTTTGAGTAAGGCATGAGTAATGCCCTTTTATATTTCATGTGTTTCCCTAAGTTGGTTCTAATTAATGCTGAATTGTCAGTGTAGATGTGTGTTACTTATTTGGTGAACTTTTTGAAAACTATGAAGTTTGAGAATTTTTTGTTACAGAACTAGCAATAAAAAAATAGGAAGTGGAACAAGAAGTGTTTCCTATCACAAAGACATCTCCACTTAAAGGGAACAAAGGGCTGATGGGTAATTAATGGTTTCTTGAAAACTGACGAACAGTTCCTCTCCATTTATACACAACTTGTGGTCAATAAAAATGTTTCATTTAGGGGAAAATGCCCAAAATGTGAAAAAAACTGTGGAAGAGCTACTTCTTACCCATTTTTTCAAGAATGTGAGAACTAAAATATAAAAGTCAGTAATGTATGCAAACCATAAGAGACTCTTAAAGATAGAGAACAAACTGAGGTTTGATGGAGGGAGGTGGGTGGGGGATGTGCTAGATGGGTGATAGGTACTAAGGAGGGCACTTGTGATAAGCACTGGGTGTTGTCTGTAAGTGATAAGTCACTTAATTCTACACCTGAAACCAATTTTACCATATATGTTAATTAGAATTTAAGTTGAAATAAAAAAGTGAAATAAAAAAATTGAAATAAAAAACTGTCAGCATTGTTTGAGGAAAGAATAAACTTGATTTTTCTGCATACAATTTCCCCCCACCCCCAAAACAGCAGCAGATTCCCCAATAAAAGATTAATTTTTCTTAATTCCAGAAATGTAATTTTGGATACTAAGTAGTTATTGCTGTTACTATATGAGGTTGGATTTCAGACATAGGATCAAAATCTATTAAAGGATATAACCACATTAATTGCTTAGATAATTTAATTAAAAATGTTAGCATTAAAATCCTATTGTAATTATTTTAAAGTAAGAATTTCATAGTTATTTTCATTTTTATGTTTGGTTAAAAAAGACAGGACCAATCTAAATAGTTCCCCCCTCCCTCATTTGTGCTGTTTTACAATTATAGAAACTGTTGTGACTGAAATAACTAAGCTTTTTGTGTACATTTTTTATCTTCAGGGTGGTGATATTCAGGTGTTATTTATATTAAAAATCACAAAGAAAGTTCTTAAAATTAATGTTGGATCAATTTCATAAGAGAATTTTAACTGTAAAATCTATATAACAATTTTTTGGAGGATCAGGGCTGTGTATTCTAATTATGTTACCTCTATGCTTATCACAGTATCACATGCCAGTAAATGCTTATGAACTTGGATGATGACATGATAACATTATTTTGAACTTACTCGGCATGCATCCACTCCACCTTGAGGTAGTCCAGCACATAGCATTCCCGACAAAACAGCTCCATTATAACTAGTTGGTGCATTACATGCATCATTACTTATTATTCTGACCCGTGCTTGCTGTAGATCTGAAACTGTGCTACCTGTGAAGTATAAAGCAGAAATGGAATGGGTAAATTAATGATTCTATGTCAAACATGGGAAGGAATAACTGGACTCCAAAACACTGTATCTTATTTAGCAAAGCAGGCTATGGAAGATATATTGGGAGTTTCTTTTCAGCAAAGATGCCCATAGTAGAGAAGAATAAACCCTCTACACAGATCAATTTTATTTTTTTACCTTACTTTGTGATGCAGTGCCCCTTGGACCTCAAGAGCAAAACATATCTGCTATTTTAATATTGACTAGCAGCATTTAAGTTATTCACTGACTGACTTTGAATTGGAAAATTACATATTGAGTAAACTTTAATTTACCAATGAAAGAGAAACCAGTCTGGTTTCAAGGCTAAAGAAATAATTTATTTTACTTGTATTGATGTTCCTTCAGAATGGCACTGCCATTTTTATGATTGGCACACATTTTATCTATTACATCAAATTACTTTCAGTGGTGAAAACACAATGAGGTATTTTCTAGGACAATTAAGTCTTCATATTATTTCTTGGAGATACAATCTACAGCATGAGCTGAAGCATGTGGAAATTGTTAATGCTGTGTCCTTCCACGCCTTGGTTGATATTCTCTTCACCATGGCCCTATTTGTTCTTTTACATTGCCCTCACTATTCATTCAATAAACAAAGAGTGAACAATGCTTATGTGTGTAGAGTTTCTTGCTCTAGAGGTAGAATTCATTTCATCTCAGAATACCTTAATGATTGTTAACACCTTAGAGAGTGTTAAAACCCTTAGAGAATACCTATCAAAATCTTCTTTTCAAAATTAAAAATTTTCTTTATATGAGAGACATTTGAGACCTATAGAGTCCCTGGTTCATTGAAGAACTCATGTTTCTTCACCACTTTTATTTTACGTTTCCCTATTACTATGTTTGAGAATCCCCCATGATTTCTAGGGACACTGCTTTGCTTTGCTGAGGATATGTAGTAATAACTAGAGGTTGGACTCATCAGAATATGGGGTCGTTCCTTCCACAGAACATGTGCTTCAGGTGTTCCCTAATTAAATTACATAACAGCAAGTCCCAGGAGATTTTGTTGTTGTTGTTGTTGTTGTTGTTGTTGTTTGATTTTTCCTGAGACACTTACCGCCATATTCTTGAGATCCCCATCCTGTTACATAAGCAGTAGACCCAGGCGGAATATTCTGGGTAGCCTCCGGGAGACACACCCTATGGATATCTTTGGTAAAGGTGATGCCTCTGTCAAGTTGTATAGCTGCAATATCATTTTCATGAGTTGCAGGGTTATAATTGCTATGGATTAAAATAGTCCTTACTCCTCTTCTCTGTTTAGGAAATGTTGTTGAAACACCGAAAGTGACAGTCCACTGACGAGGATTAGGGTAGCTAAAAAAATATGAGAATGTGTTTTGAAGAGTGAGTTTATGAGCATTTCAAATATTTGAATTTTGCGTTTGCCATCCCTTTCCCGGCTAGCAACTATTTGATCAATATCTCTTTGGTATATATTTTCTGGATTACATAGTTAGTAAATGAATGATAATTTGTCTAAAGGGTCTGCGAATTGAAGAGTTGATTAACTCAGTGTTGCTCTTAAGCTTGAATAAAAATAAAATGTATCCACACAACAACAATTTAAGAGTTTTGTGGAGTTTAGATATAGGTGATACAGAAATAAAAATTATATGTTCAGGAAATAATCTTATAATGTACAGTAGCTTATGTAAGAGTGAATGCTAGTTAAAAATTCTAAAGAAAAAAGTAGTTTACAACCACCGAATACATGAATTTTTCATATTGAACTTCTTTTGATCAGTCTCTTTACAGAGAAAATTTTAAAGCTATTGTTCTCTTCTTTCCCTCCCTTCCTTTTCTTTCTTCCAGCAAACGAATAAGAGCATGATTTTGGAATCAGTTAGAATTAGGGGTGCCTGGGTGGCTCAGTCGGTTAAGTGGCCGACTTTGGCTCAGGTCATGATCTCGCGGTCTGTGAGTTCGAGCCCTGCGTCAGGCTCTGTGCTGACAGCTCAGAGCCAGGAGCCTGTTTCAGATTCTGTGTCTCTCTCTCTCTGACCCACCCCCATTCATGCTCTGTCTCTCTCTGTCTCAAAAATAAATAAACGTTAAATAAAAAAAAAATTAGAATTAGATTTAAATCTTGGCTATGCCATATATTAACTATGTTATTTAGGGCAACTTACTTCATATCTTTAATTCTCAGTTTATTTTTGCACAAAATGTGACTGATTATATGCCCTCACTCAGTTGTAAGTATTGAAACAATGTTTGGCATACAAGGTAAGCACTCAGTGGAAATAACTATTATTTTCATTAGTTATAGTTGAACAAGTCATTACTACATGTTTACTTTGTATAAGAAACAGTATGAGTCTCTGGGAATAAAAATATAAATAAATAACTATGCTACAGGTATCAGACAACAAAAAGACATAAAAAGTATCCAGATTGGCAAGGAGGAAGTATAACTTTCATTATTTGCAGCTGACATGATACTATATATAGAAAACCTTAAAGACTCCACAAAAAAACTGCTGGAATTAATAAACAAATTCAATAAAGTCCCAGGATACAAAATCAACATACAGAAATATGTTGCATTTCTATACACCAATAATGAAACAGGGAAAAAGAGAAATTAGGAATCAATCCCATTTACAATTGCACCAAAACCAATACGATACCTAGGAATAAACCTAACCAAAGAGGTAAAGAATCTGTACACTGAAAACTATGGAAAGCTGATGAAAGAAATTGAAGAAGACACAAAGAAATGGAGAAAAATTCCATGCTCATGGATTAGAAGAACAAATATTGTTAAAATGTCTATATTACCCAAAGCGACCTACATATTCAATGCAATCCTTATTGAAATAATACCAGCATGCTTCACAGAGCTAGAACAAGCAATTCTAAAATTTGTATGGAACCAGAAAAGACCCAGAATAGCCAAAGTAATGTTGAAAATGAAAAATAAAACTGGAGGCATCACAATTCTGGATTTCAAGCCGTATTACAAAGCTGTATTCATCAAGACAATATGGTACTGGCACAAAAACAGACACCTAGATAAATGGAACAGAATAGAGAACCCAGAAATGGGCCCACAAATGTATGGCCAACTAATCTTCCACAAAGCAGGAAAGAATGTCCAATGGGAAAAAGACTAACTCTTCAACAGTTGCTGTTGGAAAAACTGGACAGCAACATACAGAAGAATGAACTTAGACCACTTTCTTACACCATAGCCAAAAGTAAATTCAAAATGGATGAAAGACTTAAATGTAACACCTGAAACCATAAAAATCCTAGAAGAGAACTCAGGTGGTAACTTCTTTGATATCAGCCATAGCAACTTCTTTCTAGACATGTTTCCTGAGGCAAGGGAAACAAAAGCAAAAATAAACTATTGGGATTACTTCTGCACAGTGAAGGAAACAATCAACAAAGCTAAAAGGCAACCTTCAGAATGGGAGAAGATATCTGCAAATGATATATTTGATAAGGTGTAGAAGGTTTATTACCCAAAGCATATAAAGAACTAATAAATCTCAACACCCAAAAAACAAATAATCCAATTAAAAAATGAGAAGACATGAACATTTTTCTGAAGAAGACATACATTCAGCAGACACGTGAAAAGATGCTCAACATCACTGATCATCAGGGAAATACAAATCAAGACTACTCTAAGATACCACCTCACACCTGTCAGAATGGCTAAAATCAACAACACAAGAAACAGGTGTTGGTGAGGATATGCGGAAAGGGGAACCCTCTTGCATTGTTGGTGGGAATACAAACTAGTGCAGCTACTCTGGTTTGCTCAAAAAGTTAAAGAATAGGATTACCCTGGGGCACCTGGATGGCTCAATTGGTTAAGCATCCTACTTCGGTTCATGTTATGATCTCAAGGTTCATGAGTTCAAGCCCTATTGCAAATTCTGTACTGACAGCTCAGAGCCTGGGGCTTGCATCAGATTCTGTGTCTCCCTCTGTCTCTGCTCCTCCCCCTCTCATACTTTGTCTCTCTCCTCTCAAAAATAAATAAACATTAAACAAATTTAAAAAAATAGGACTATCCTATGATCTAGCAATCACACTACCAGGTATTTACCCAAAGAGTACAAAAATACTAATTCAAAGGGATACATGCACCCTAATGTTTATAGTAGCATTATCTACAATATCCAAATTGTGGAAAAAGCCCAAGTGTCCATCAACTGATGAATGGATAAAGAAGAGGTGGTACACACACACACACACACACACACACACACACACACTGGAATATTAGCCTTAAAAAGAATGAAATCTTGCCCTTTGCAATGATGTGAATAGAGCTAGAGAGTATTATGCTAAGTGAAATAAGTCAGAGAAAGACAGACACTATATGATTTCACTTATATGTGGAATTTAAGAAGCAAAACAAACAAGCAAAGGGGAAAAAGGAGAGAAAAACAAACAATCTAAGAAACAGAGGCTTAACTATAGAGAACAAACTGATAGTTACCAGAGAGGAAGTGGGTGGGGGGATGGGTTAAACAGATGATGAGGATTAAAAAGCACCAGGTGTTGTATGAAAGTGTTGAATCACTATATTGTACACCTGAAACTAGTATTACACTGTATGCTAACTTTCTGGAATTTAAAATCTTAAAAATATATAAATAACTATGGTCTCTGTTCATGAGCAGCTCCACATGAGACAATTAAGTATCATAAATCACAGGGACTACTGCTAAAGATAAGTGAGCAGATTTCTGTGAGAGTACCATGGGGGAGGAAGAAAGCATCAGGGAAGACTTCATAGGGGAAGTGATAACTCAAAAATCTTCTCATGGACTCTTGGAGGGCCTTATCACATCTATATATCTTGATGTAAGGCTGGCTGTGTCCCCAGAAATCCTCGTTGATGGGTTCTCAGTGACAATCAGGCCTACTGGAAGTGTGCCAATATAAGGTTCACATAGTTTGTTAGCTTTCCTGGATCAATTTAGTAGTGAATAGAAGGATTGGGGAGGCATAATTCAAAGATGTTCCAAGCATTTAAAATCATGAATTATGGGGTGCCTCGGTGTCTCAGTCAGTTAAGTGTCTGGCTCTTGATCTCAGCTAAGGTCGTGATCTCACTGTCTGTGGGATTTGTGCTGACAGCGCAGAGCCTGCTTGGGATTCTTTATCTCCCCGGCTCTCTGCCCCTTCCCTGCTCACTCTTTGTCTCTCCAAATAAATAAAAAAAAAAGTTAAAATCATGAATTACTTTGGTAAACGTTGATGATATTTATAATGGTGACTTTCATTATAGTGATATCCTTTACTTAGCTTTTGGTAGTTGGGTCTGCATAGGGCTTAGAATACAGACTGTTTATGTATTACAGCCTTTGTTATACTAAATCCAAGCATTTGCATTTCTGGTTCCCACACTCAGAAGCGATTAAAATCAATTAGTTCCATAGTTCTTCTTTGGCCTTTAAAGTGGAAATAAAGATTGAACCTTTAGCTCCAGCCAGATTGCATTATTCTCTTACTATTTTTCAGGTTTAAGGGCATTTTCTCAATCTTCTTCTTCTCCCTAAAATGTTAATATCCCTTCCTCCATTTCTTCGTATTGGAATTCTGAAAAATCTTCACTATTTCTAAGAAGTCCTTTGCAGATTTGAGGGTATTGCTGTATAATATAGTGCCTGTTACAAAACGATTAAATTAAGAGGTAGTAAAGTTTAACAAGACTAGCGCACAATGCTCTTAAACCTGAAAAAGTAGGCAGAATCCAGGGGAAGAGAATAATGCAGTCTGACTGGAGCTCAAGGTTCATGCTTTGAGAAAGAAATTTGGATTGTTTCAATAGGAGGGCTATGGGTGTGTAGTAAGTTGGATTTTAGACTATGGATATTGAGTGAGTCTGAGAAAAGAGTAGATATGGTCAGAGGCACGTTTGAGTTTAGATGTCTTCACTTAGTGAATGTTTTGAGATTAATTCCCAGCAACTGTTAGGGTCTAAGGATGCTCCAATAATAAGGTGTGTCTGAACCTCACAGATTTGAGTCATCTAGGTCTAAATTTCTATCATGAGTAAGTTTATGCATCCTACTATCCACTGGCAGTTTATTACCCTCATGTTAGCACTATCCTTTAGTCACATCAGTGAAGAATTTTCTAGAAGTTGTTTAAATTCATTTTATTTATGCTACTCACTGTTATTGATCATTATTTTTGTGTATGTCTATCTCCAACATTAGAATGTAGGCTCACTTAAAGTATAGGCAGTGTTTAATTACCTTCTGTGATAATACTGTGCTCATAGTAGATACTCAATAATTGTTTTGAAAGAATTAGTTAATGGCATAAGGCAGTCTCAGATCAGCCATGAGCCTGCTGATCAGCTTATATGATGTAATGTGCAAATTTCCTACAGCAATTAATTTTGCTAACACTTAACATGTTTGCATTAGTGTATCTAATCCTATCAATAAGGCTAAGACACAGATAATAGTATCTTCCTAATTTAGGAAAAAAAAAAAGGCTTATAAAGGTTCAGTAAATTTCTCAAGTTTTCATAGCTAGGATTTAAATTAAACACTCTTACATATAGATCATTGTTCTTTACCATGATGGCACACTATTACCTGAAAGAGAAAAATAGTATTAAATTAGCCAGCTGAAGGAGGAAAAAAAATGTTTTTGCTATCATGAATAGGAAGAAAAGGCTCATTAATTTTTTTCCACATGCAATTATTTCTAGCATAATCCAATCATGTTCAGTCCAGGGTGGAGTCCTGTATCTGTCTCTCCTAGTTGTTCCCAGGTGGGTAGATAAGCTATAGCCTTACCTTCTGAAGCAGTGAGCTGCTGTCAAGATCCACATATTACTGATCAGGATGCCTCCGCAGTGGTGAACATTATTCGTCTGTAGACTGACTTGCCATGGCCAGTCTCCTTCCTCAGCCTTAGTGCCTCCTAGGATCCTCTCCGCAGACAGAGTTATTAGGTCTGTACGGGCCCCACATCCTAATAAGAAAAAAGCATTAATGTGCTGGGAAGATTATGATTCATTTACATTTGGGAGATGCTGTTAGAGTCTCTCCATCTTTTACAGCTTTTCTGTCTTTTGTGTATTTGTCCTTAGAACAGGCTAGACTTTCCAAAAGCAAGATTAATGTGTTGTTTTTTAGAGTACCTTTGTGACTACTATTGCCTATAGACTGCATTTTAGAGAATATTTCTGAACTTAATTGACATAGAGACTTCAAATTCTAGAGCAACTTTAGAGTTCTCTGAAATTCCTCATCAAAAGGGGTTAAGATAGGTTAGTGCTGGATATACCAGCTCAGGCCACAAGTTCACTAGGAAATTTCCATATAGCTTTGCTACTCCAAAGTATGATCTGTGGACCTGCAGTATGGGTATACCCTGGAAGTTTATTAAAAATGTTGACATGTTGGCACTGTGTAGAATAACTTATGGGTCTATCAATGAATGAATAGGTCAAGAGAATGTGTGTGTGTGTGTGTGTGTGTGTGTGTGTGTGTGTGTGTGTGTATGTGTGTATACACACACACAAAGGGATGTATACATATATATTTGTATATACATACATGTATACAGAGATATTATTCAGCCTTGAAAAGGAAGGAAATCCTGTTGTTTGCAAGAACATGGATGAACCTGGAGGGTATCATGCTAAGTAAAATAATCCAGACAAAAACAAATCCAGACAAAAACGGCCTGATACCATTTATATGTGGAATCTTAAAAAAAAAAAAAAAAAAAAGTCAAACTCCTAGAAAGAAAGAATAGAAAGTAGTTTCCAGGGGCTTGGAGGGTGGGGGAAATGTGGAGAATTTGATAAAAAGGGACAAACTTTCAGCTGTAAGATGAATAAGTTCTGCTGAGGATCTAGTGCAAAACATAATGATTATAGTTGATAACATTATTGTATAATTGAAATTTGCTAGGAGTGTAGAACTTAAACGTTCTCACCAAAAAAAGGGTGGGAGTAAATATGTGAGGTGATGAATATGTTAACTAGATGGGAGAATCTTTTCATAATGCATATGTATAACAAATCATAATGTTGTATACTTTAAATATCTTACAATTTTGTCAATTATACCTCAAAGCTGAAAAAACTTGACTCTAAGACCCACACCAGGAAAAAAAATCAGAAGCTGCATTCCCCCTCTCCCCAAATTTATTGTGGAGTAATTGACAAATATAATTGTATATATTTAAAGTGTACAGTGTGATGAGTTGATATCCATATATATTGTTGATTACCAAGATCAAGATAACCAACACCTCCATCACATTACATAGTTAACTCTTCTTGTGTGTGTGGTGAGAGTGCTTGAGATCTACTTAGCAACTTCCAAGCGTACAATACCATATTATTAACCGTAGTCACCATGCTGCATGTCAGATCCTCAGAACTTATTAGAAGCTACATTCTTATGAGTGATTCATGTCCACATTGAAGTTGGAGGAAAACTGCTTTCATCAAGAAATCTCCATAGTGGTAATCCAGCTCATCGTGGAAGTTCCAGTCTACCTCTGTAACTGACTCTATATTACCAAATGTGCCATTTTTCAAGGGCATATTTCACAGAATATTCTTGAGGGTAACTGAGGGTTTCTAAGCATCTAGATGAGGTTTATTTAAGTGCCTTAAAGGAGAAAGCCCATGAACACTCCAATGGCCAAAGCTGAAATGATCATTCAAGCCCTCTTCATCCTCATTCCCATGATTTATTTCCTTTTGTTTAGTCTATTACTAAGAAATAAGAAGTAAATCATCAGCAACAACTTCTATTGCTCTAAAGTAGTGACACTACTTCAATAGGACATCCATCCAAACGCATTTTTTTTTCTTACAGACCTCTAGACTTTCATTAAGAATATACAAAGAACGGGGCACCTGGTTGGCTCAGTCAGTTAAGGGTCTGATTCTAGATTTCTGCTGAGGTCATGCTCTCATGGTTCTGAGATTGAGCCCTGTGTCCAGCTGGGCCCTGACAGTGTGGAGCCTGCTTGGAATTGTCTCTCTCCCCTGCCCCCCTCTCTCACAAAGTAAATAAATACACTTAAAAAAAAAAGAATATACATAGAACATAAGTTCCTCTGCTTCATCCTTCAACCAAATTCCCTAGTAAATTACTTAAGCACATTTTCATTAAAAATAAGCATGAATTAAATATAAAATGAAGTTGAAAAAGGTACCATTACCTTGTAACATCACTTAAGTATCTGAGATAGGCCAGCTATTGAGGTATATTGAACTAATTTCTAACTATATTTCATCAGCCAGAGAAGTAAACAGCTGTTTTCTAGGGATTATATTTCTGCTATCCTAGCCTAAGAGTATACAGAATGACATTGGAAAGTAGTGACTTTTCCTTAAGATTTGAGACCTAATACTAACATCACTTTTTATAATTTTTTTTTTTTTTTTTTTTTTTTTTTTTTTTTTACTATACTTTTTGATTAACCTAAATCCACAACAAAGCAAGCTATTCTGGTCATTAGGAGAAGCCATATAAATGGTGTCACCAAACATAGTTTATAAGTCTAAGGGAGTGCCACCATAGAACTGGGGCAGGAAAAGCTTCCCAAAGCTGCAAAAAAACTTTTCCTGAGGCCAGACTTGACACAGAATGCCATTGCTGCCAGCACCTTCCTCTAAAAGGAGGGGAAAACCTACACATCACTGGCCGTTGGAATCAGCAATGTCTTATCTCAGACCACAGGAGTGAAGTAAGAATAAAAATAACACCTCAATAGAAACTACCTTGACAAAGAGTGCAAATACTTGAATGTTTACTATTTATATTTTGGAAACCATTTTTATAAGGTAATTTAGAAACTTACCTTGAGTGAACATATCCACTGTATCCTGGTCAGTAATTGCTGGTGTTAAAAAAAAAAGTGAGAGTAAGATGAATACAATAAGGACTGTATATTATTACATGTAGTCTTAATTTCTTAAATGTAGTCTTCAGACAACCACCATCAGAATCACTTAGGGCCTGATAAGATACATACAGATTTCTAGGCTTCATCTCAGATCTGCTGAAAGAATCTCTGAGTCATAAGTCCTAGAAATGTGTGTTTACAGTCTTCCCCCAATTTATTGTTATCTATACTTAAGTTTGTGCTTTTTTCTCATCAAACACTAAGAGATACTTAAAAGATATTTAAAAGATATTCCTGCTTTCAATTCACTCAGTTTAGTTGGGAAAAGAGAAACATAAGCAAGTTGTTGAGATATGATGTGATAAGTCGTATAAGAGAAGTTAAGTTTTCATTTACCTGAATATATATGTAGGTATATATTGATACGTCTGTATTACTCAACTGATACAATTCTTAGTGCTGAGGTGTAACAGTGAGAAAAATACAGGAGGTCTGCCCTCACATGACTTACAGTTTAGAAAATATTAAAAAAAAATCATTCAAATAAATTTAAGTATGAAGTAGAGAGGAGAAAGGAGAGGGTGGTCATGCGACTTGAGATATTCACCAAGTTATCATGGTGAGAAAAACATATGAGCTGTATTCTGAAGACATGAAAGGAATTTTCTAGGTAGACAAGCAGTGAAAGTGTATTCCAGGTGGACGGTGTAGTGGGCACAAGTGCGTGGAGATGTATGATGTTTGTGGAACAATGAAGTCAGTAGAGCTAGGAGTGAAAGTGTGACGTGGGAAAATGGGAGGAGGGCGCAGACAGAAAACTATGTTGATAGTAGATAGTGAAGATCTGTCTATTCTAGTTTAAGGTCTGCACATGCTACAGCCCTCTCAAACTCAAGGTCACCAAATTTTACCCCAGATTTGCTACTTTTGTTATATTTCCTCCTTTAGGAAATGATTCCACTTCTACCAGTGGCTAGAATTCTGAAACAGTCTCCAGTTCCCTCCCTTCCTGTCATTTTCACAGTTCCCTCCCTTCCTGTCATTTTCACATTTTATTTGCTTTCAGATTTTGTATCTTCTAGCCTCTAACTATCCTTTGAATCAGGCCTATCCTCCCCATCCCTTTGGCTACTACTTTAGTTCACGCTTTCATCATTTAACATCTGTACTATTCTTTTTTTAATGTTTATTTATGAGACAGAGACAGAGCATGAATGGGGGAGGGGCAGAGAGAGAGGGAGACACAGAATCGGAAACAGGCTCCAGGCTCTGAGCCATCAGCCCAGAGCCCGACACGGGGCTCGAACTCACGGACCGCGAGATCCTGACCTGAGCTGAAGTCAGACGCTTAACCGACTGCGCCACCCAGGCGCCCCTAACATCTGTGCTATTATAACAACCTTCAGTCTGCGTTCGCTGCCTCCACCTTTGCACTTTTCAATGTGTCTGCCTTCACTTTACCAGGCTGTTTTTTTTTCCCCTAAAAATCTATGTCCGATCATATCCTTCCTTGCTTGAAAGCTTCTAATGAGAAACCAGTTTCTTTTTTCCTATAAAAGATATCTAACCTTCTCAGACAAGTTTTCATGATTTCTAAAATCAATTTTTGTAAACTTATTTCCTGCCAGAACTTTCACAGGGTTTGGGTATCATATCTGCTTTGTGTCAGGGGAGTCCAAATATCCTTTTGGATGCCAGGAATAAAAAAAAAAACTGACCACTCCTTTTTATTCTTTGAATGAGAGAGACTTGAGTTCAAATCCTGCCTCCCCTACATGAAGATTGCAGGACTCTGGGCAATTGTCCATCGTTTCTGAGTGGGAACAATAAAAGTAGAGTCTATGGTTGTGGGGATTAAACAAATTGTAATGGATGAGCATCAGCCAGCCAGTCCGAAGGATGTAATAAACCGTGGAGCTAGAGCAGTGTCTTGGAAGTCCCTAAGCATTAACTCTTCAATTGCAGGGAGATGAACTGAGAGTCTGGGGGTAGGGATGGGAGGATTTGAAGAGGCTGGGGAGACATCTTTGTGGGCGTGGTACAGTGGTGGTTTACCGATAGATAGGAAAGCATTTCAATATTGTAACACTTAGTACAGCTATAACAGACACATACTAATTGAATACCAGTCCAGTGTGGGGGCTACCAAAATCCTTTAATCCTGAGCTTATATTAAGGGAATCATGGTTTATTAATAGTGCATGACAAAGTTGGAGGGGTGTCCTTAAATTCTATGTACATATCAAATCTTTTTTTTCAGTCATGCAAGAAATATTAATGGAGCATCTATTATGTAGTAGATGATAGTAGAAGCACACTGGGATGAACAAGAAAGACTTGTTCTTGCCTTTAGGAAACTTACAGAGTAGGATGAAGACAATCAACAGAAATATCACACAAATAATTTTGTAGTTTTGATTGTGATAAATGTTATGAAGGAAAATGGAGTCCATGATACAGGTAAATAATTGAGTAATAGAAGTTAGAAAAGGCTTACATTAGAAACCAGTGACCCAGATGAGACCTGATGGATGTAAAGGGATGAACTAGAGAGTATTGTAAGAAACTGAAACAATGTATACAAAGGCCCTGAGTCAGGAGAAGAGTTTGGCAGGTGGAGGAAATGAAAATGTGGCCAGATTATGGTGAATAAGGAAGAGTGGTATAATAAGTAGGTGAAGGGGTAAGTTTGAACCAGATCATGCAGGGCTTTAAATGAGATGGTCATATCATTTATTGTCCAAACCAAAATACTTAGGGATTAATATTAATAATGGTTCTTGGACAAATATGAACTGGGACTGTCCTGGGTAAGCCTGGGTATCCCAGTTACAGGTCTTTTTTTTGTTTGCTTGTTTTGTGTTTCTGTGGGAAGTCATGGGAAGCTTTTAAATAATGATGAGATTATGTTTTAAAATATAAAACATAACTTGATCAGTATGTGGACAATAGTTTGGAAGGGGCCAACACTATATAAAACGGGTAGTATGGAGGCTAGTGCAAATAGTTCAAGATAGAAATGATGTGGGCTTGGACCAGAGTGGTAGCAATTGGGATGGGAAAAAATGAAAATAGATTCAAGACAAGAAGAGGTACAGATATTTTCAGAGAGGAGTTAGGGATGTTGCTAAATCTTCTAATTTTCTTCTTTATTCTAGGAGTATTAATCACACACCTCCCGATTGAATGCTGGGTTCTGGGTGAGGTGGATTGTTAATTCAATTGTTCTCTGACCTTGAGCAGCTATTTACCATTCCTATAGCACACCTACAGATTGAAGATCTGACAGTAATGTCTCTCCTGTTGAGAGATAAGGAGTGTTGAGAGGGAAAAGTAATAAAGAATGTTTAGCAAATAAAATTTATTATATGAATGCTAAATGATTCTTTAAATTTTAGAATGTTTTATATTAGAGAACTATGTATTATGTCTAGCTTTATAATATATAGTTTTCATAAAGTTTAATTCCAAAGAAAGAAAAGTCAGTCTCATTAAATTAAAATATGAATTAAAACTGGTTTAGTTGATATGTTGGGATAAAATGGTATATAAAAATGGTACTTGCATGTTATCTCAGTTGAAGGGTTTATTTCCAAGTTTCCAGAGTTATTCAGCATGTGGTGTAAAACAGACTCAATTCTCCTTTTCATTGATGCTCCATTGTTGTTTCTAGTGAATTTAAATTTCATGACAACATCTGCTATCACACCATTACCCTCTTGCCTGAAAACCATAAATATATTAAAAAATAGATAATTATAATTTTCAGTTGTTCTGTTTATATACTCTTATTGATTAAACATTAAAAAGATTCATTTGGGCAATTCAACTTTAGAATTTAACTGGTCACGTAACAGTGTTTGCATACTTAATGATCTATCACACAATGCTGTTCCACAAATATTTGATTTTGATGCATAGTATGTTGTATCCACTATTTGGTATAGCTTGCTTTGAAGTCAGAATGCCAGAATTTGAATAATACTAGCTCTGCCATTTATGGTTTGACTTTGGTAAGTTATTTGTTTCTTAATCTTTCTGTATTTAAGTCTCCTCACATCAAAATGGGTTGTTATGAAGATTATGTCCATTAATATATGCAAAACTTTTGGGAAGAGTGAATAGTATACAGTACATATTAGCTTTTATTAGACTTCACATATCTTAAAAAATAAAACAAAACACCCTTATCTCATTAAACAAACCTGTAAGGAGAGAGGTTCCAAATTTATGTGACTTAAAGCCTCAGGTTAATTTTCTATTACCTAAACCCATTAATGTGGCTACAAAAGCAAAATTTAACTTTTGTAGTCATATGTTAAAATTTTACCTCTGTTATCAGCTAACCGCAGATAGTTCTCACAGTGAGCCTTAATAATTTGACTGAAGGCTATAATTATCAAACATTGATATAATTTCCACTTCTTTCTGTGTAAATTACCATGTAAATCATTTCCTTCACCTAACATTGGCCATCTTCTCTCCTGAAAAGGTGCTTTAGACAAATTTGTCTCTCATATTCATTCTAGGCCTCCTCCTCTCCTCTCAATAGTCATTTCTGCTGTAATATTTATTCCAGATATTAATTTAATATTTACTTAGCAATATTAAATAGGTACCTTCTTGCACTAGGCACTGTTCTTGGTTTCAGAAATTAGCTGTGACCAAGATTCACAGTTGCTATTCTCATGGATTTTGCAGTTTAGATGGAGGAGCAGACACTGAAGAAATAATTTATATCCATTTCTAACATCTCAAAAGCCCAAATAATTAAAAAAAAACCTTCTCCATATAAAATAACCAGAAGTGTTTGATAAAATACAATACATTTCATTTGGAATGCAAAGCTAAAGTCACATTAAAGGAAGGGAAATCTTGGAAAGCCAAAAATAAGGAAAATGAATATTATGTGATAAGCACTAGAGTATCCAACAGGCTTGACTTTTAGCATTTACATAGTTGCTGGAGAGGACTCTTTGGGCTAGTGCTAAATAGGGAGATGAACATTAGGTTTCTAAATAAGACCAGGATTCTCAAAGAACTAAACCCTCAATGAAAGCATGGATTGGAAAGAAAAAAACGCGCTCATCATGTCATTAAAAAAAAAAAAAAAAAAAAAAAAAAAAAAGAAAAGAAAAAAGGTCTGTAGGTCTATGGGTCTTAGGGTTCCAGGTCTAGACAGAAAAAAGAAGATTCTTCTGATAATTTATGATCAAGAGCCTAGCTACCTGAAAGTTTTGGATTTATAGTACCACCACCTTCATGGTTCCAGAAACTTTAAGAAATTAACAAACCGACAAACAAAAAAGGTCCATATGCTGCTGATCCTCCTGGAGTAACAAATGCTCTGTAATATTGAATGTTAAATCCAGGCTGCATAGTGTCTTACTTATGAAGTGGGATTAAATATCAGCATACAATCCCAATGGCAAACAACATATCATGAGCTAGATTCAGCAGAAAAAGGAGAGCATCCTCAAAAGCGTCACATAATAAAATTAACAGATAACTATACTTGAAATGACTAATGACATAAAAGGGGAATTATAAATATGAGAAAAGTATAGGACTTTATCAAAACAGACCAGACAGGTTCACAAAAGAAACAAACAGAGCTTGCAGACAGGAATACATAATCATAACTTTTCCCTGAAAGTAAAAACTCAATGGGTGGGTTACATAGAATATGACAAAGCTGAAGAGAAATTAGTGAACTGAAAGATGAACATAAAGACATCACACAAAACGTAACAGATAAAGAGATGAAACAGATCAAATAGAGGCTAAGAGACTAGAGAAGGCTCAGTGTTTACCTAATGCAAAACTAAAGAATAACAAAAACAAAGGAGCAGCAGTATTACAAGAGATGATGAGAATTATCCAGAATTGATGAAGGCATGAAGGCTTAGATCACAATGAATCTGAGGCATACTAAATAAAAAAAACCCCACACATACAAATACATCATTAAAAAACTGTGAACTCCACAGACAAATGGAAGATATTCAGACAATGGAGAAGAGATTAGCTACCAAAGAACATTTTGACTGAAGGACAGTTTCTTTAATAGCAATGAAAAAGGTGATATATAATTGTATATATACACTGAGAGCACAATAGCACTGAGACACAATAGCTATTAATTTGGAATTTTATATCCATACTAAAGTCTTATTCAAGAATGAAGATAAAATAGGACTTTTTGTAGACCAAAGAAAAATTAAAAAGATACTTTACAGATCATTTACTCTTGTGAAAATTTATTTTATTTTAGAAAGAGAGCATGAACAGGGGAGAGGGGCAGAGGGAGAGAGAGAATTTTAAGCAGACTCCATGCTTGGCATGGAACCCAAAGCAGGACTCGATCTCATGACTGTGAGATCATGACATGAGCCGAAATTAAGAGTTGGACGCTTAACCAACTGAGCCACCCAGATGCCCTGACTCTTGTGAAAATTTATAAATGAAGTACTTCAGTAAGAAAGAGATTGAACGTAGGAGAGTTGAGGTACAGTAAGAAATAGGGAACAGAGAAAGTGACAAACTGGTAATCTATCATTACAATGACTGATTTGGTGTCATTATAAATAAGGTGGCGCTAAAACATCATTCATAATAACATGAATAAGAGTTCCAAGTAGAAGGGTAATGGATTAAGCCAACTCTCCTTATTTAAATTTTAAGGATAATCACTAAAATAAGGCAAAGATGATTAGAATGCATTAGAAAATATTATCTAACTTTCTGTTTTAGGAGAAATGTCTAACCTATAAGAATATGTAAATAATAAAAATAAAAGGATAGATAAATATATTGAAAAATGATAGCCACAAGAATGTCAATGTAGCTATAATGGTATCAGACACAAGAGATTTTAAGACTGAGGTGCTTGGGTGGCTCAGTTGGTTGAGTGATCGACTTCAGCTCAGGTCATGATCTCATGCTTTGTGAGCCCTAAAGTTTGAGCCCTATATCGGACTCGCTGCTGTCAGTACCGAATCTGCTTTGGATCCTCTGTCTCTCTCTCTCTCTCTCTGCCCCTCCCCACCTTGCACACTTTTTCTCTCTCATCAAAAATAAATACACATTACAAAAAGATATCTTAAGATTAAAAAAATTAATTAGGGATAAAAAAGATTAATATCTTGATAGAACTAATTCCTGAGGAAGATATACCAATTCCAAACATATAGGTACTTGACACTATGTCCTCAAAATATATTGCATAAGGAGAAATAGATAAATCTATAGTGGTAGATTTTATTTGAATGACAAGTATTAAGCTTAATAGGAAGGAACAGAATTAATGACCAGAAATTGATTCTTTGACATATGTAAACAATTTATTGCAGAAGTGGTATCACAAATGGAAGGAAAATGACTCATATGTAAAGATTTAAATCTATTTCTCATATCATATACAAAGTGTCTAAATATGAGCAAAAATGTTTACAACTTACGAGAAAATATGAATGTCTTTACATACATGAGTAGAAAGAATTTCTTAAATAAGACTATTTGCAACTGACTTTTCACAATAAAAGATGCCATAAGGTTTGAAGATATGCTATGGACAGGAAGAATATATTTGCAACACAGAAAGTGACAAATGATTGCTACCTACTATAAATACAGAATTCCTACAAGTCAACAAGAAAAGACTAACAAAAGTAGAAGAACCAATTCAAAGAAGAGGTATCTTTAGTGAATGACAAACTTTGAATAAGATACCCAAACAGGACCATGTGTTTTACACTAATTTATTTGATCTTTATAACAACTCTACCAAAGAGGCATGTACCCTCCTCTTGTGAACTGTAACAAACTATCTTTTTAAGGGTAATCCTTTCCTGATTTTTTTTGACTTACCGTACCTCAAGCTTTATATTTACACACTGTGTTTAAAACTGAAGGGAAAGGGGGAAAAGTGTGTGCACATTTCCAGCAGAGAGAATAGCTTATATGAAGGTCTTGAGGTTAGGGCCAGTGAAGAACTGAAGGAAGTCTAGTTGGATGATAGTGAAAGATAAGCCCAGGAGAGGCCAATGGAAGGATGGAAGGATTTTAACCAGGGGAGTAATATGTTTAGAATTTTGTTTCAAAAAGTCTTTCTGACTGCTTTGTAGAATGTGGAGTGGAGCAAGACTGGAGGAAAGGAGACTCATTAGGAGGCTGTTCATAGTCCAGGAGAGAGATGGTTGAGGGCACTGTTTGAAGAAAAGTTACGGATCTTAGGGATATTTAGAAAATAGAACTGAAAGATTAGATGATTGGATGTATGGGTTGAGGGAGAGGAGGAATTAAAGATGACTTACATATTTCTTGAGCAACTAGGTTGAAAGTGACACCTCAATTAATTTGAGGTAACATTTGGTGGGAGAGAGATGATAGGTTCAGGTCTGGATTTAGTAAGTTGAGTTGTCTGTGAGACACCTGTGTGATGACATTAAGGAGATGGCTGTGTACATTCATGACTGGAGATTAGAAGAGAGGACTGGCCCAGAGATGCAACTTTGAGAATGATGAACATATAGGGGTAAATTAAGCCACTGAAAGTCAAGAATGTAAACTGAGAAGATGAGAGGCTTATAGCACAGCCTAATGTCCAACATTTGAAGGACATGCAGAGAAGGAATAAGAGCTAGTGAAGAAAATTGAGGAGTGAATGGAGAGGTAAGAGGAAAATAGGGTGTGTAGGGTCATAGAAACTACAGGATGGTACTATTTTAAGAAGGATTAAAAATACAACAGTACCAAATATCACTGAGAGGTCCAAACAGAAGATGATATAATTTGCTTGGAGCTTGTGATTTGAATGTCCTTGTTGAATTTGGCAAAGGCGATTAGCATTTTGTGGTGGCATCAGAAGTAAGATTGCAGGGGATTGAGCAGTAAGTGGGAAGTAAAATACTACAGATGACTCATTCAATCCTACAAGTTTTTTTTTTTTTAATTTTTTTCAACGTTTTTTATTTATTTTTGGGACAGAGAGAGACAGACAGAGCATGAACGGGGGAGGGGCAGAGAGAGCGGGAGACACAGAATCGGAAACAGGCTCCAGGCTCTGAGCCATCAGCCCAGAGCCCGACGCGGGGCTCGAACTCACGGACCGCGAGATCGTGACCTGGCTGAAGCCGGCCGCTTAACCGACTGCGCCACCCAGGCGCCCCATCAATCCTACAAGTTTTGAAAGCCAGTGGCTAGTACAGAGATTTTCACAAGACAGTGCTAAGGCGAAAGTGTGCTGAACTGACTAAAATTGATTTGGTAGTACTCTTCCCATGGATTCTTCCTTCCCCTCTCATTTCTCAACAAAACGTATCTGACCAGATGTTCATGCTCTGGACTTACTATTTCTATAGCAAATAAGAACTATTAATTTTCTTGTGGTGGTGGTATTTGGGAAACACCTCCCTTTCAAAGGACTTTTGCATATTATTTGAAGGATTGGGTAATGTGGGCATTTGAGGCATTTGTGGTAAGGTCAGTAAGGGTCAGTATTTTAGCTGGGAGGGCCTGTCTCATCACATCACACAGATAAGTATATATTCAACTAAGGTAGGAATGTCAAATAACTAGAATGCGTGCTGCTACTCCCCTTATTGTTAATTCATGCCACACATGCTTGGATTTGACCACAAGGTCCTTTGTGTTATAGCATTCCAGGCAGATACAAACCAAAAAGCTTGATGTTGGTCATAGTGTTCTGATCTTGGCTGAATATGCCCAGGACCACAGAATTGCACAACTCCAAGGGGGCACTGTTTACATAGACTGTATTGTGAATGGTATCCACTGGATTTATACAGTAGGATCGCCTTGTTACTGTACCCTCACCCAACTCTCTTTAACCTTTCTTTTTTTTCTACCATGTATTCAAGTGATATGCTTACTTACATTAGTAATAGATCAAAATGTGGCATGTTTTGTTTTTATTTATTTGCATTGTTTTTTAAGCTGCCCATAATACTACTTTCATAATATTGCAACAAATTGTGTGAATGTCTCATTATCTATGCTGTGAACAAAAGTCAAATGGGCCATATTGCTTAATATAAGCTTAATATATTACTAGTAATATTACTATTTAATAAACATTAACGCTTTAATGTTTATTTTTGAGAGAGAGAGAGAGAGAGCGCGCATGCATACACTGGGGAGGGGCAGAGAGAGGGAGACACAGAATCCGAAGCAGGCTCCAGGCTCCGAGCTGTCAGCACAGAGCCTGACATGGGGCTCGAACCCACGAACCATGAGATCATGACCTGAGCTGAAGTCTGACACTTAACCAACTGAGCCACCCAGGTGCCCCTAAGCTTATATATATTTTTATATAGTTCCACTTACCTCAGTTTGACAACATGAGCTCTGATGAATTGATTTCTTAAATTTGATTCTTGGAATGTTTTAGTAATCTATAGAAAGAAAGGGGAAAATGTTTTTATGCTTCCAGTTGTTCTCCTTCCTCCCAACCTTGCAACACAGGACTTAAGTTAATGAGGAATAGGGACTGGAGTTTTCAGTTCAGTTCAGTTCAGTTCAAATTTCAATGAAATTTTAGTTCAATTTCATCTCAACACATAGGATTGATTTAGTCTGGGGAAACAGCCTTTTGATGCAGTGCCTATTTCTTCACTTATGATACAAACATGATAATGGATAGGATGCATCTTCACTAGAAGGCATCTAAACATCAGATGTTGTACTCAGTGTGATTTGGTGGCTCTTCCCAAGGGTGTTGGACAAAAATCAAGTAAACAATGAAAAACAGAGTACTATTTTATATTTCTTCACTGGTTGAGGGTATCAGTATTATCTTTGTATTCTAGAATAGTCTAGAATTCTCATACCTCAGTAATGTTCATAGTTGATAAGAACTGAAGTAAGATGTGGATTATTTAAATTCTAACAAAGTGAATCATTAAATTTGTTAATAGACCAGCCATTAAAGTGTAAGACAATTACATATAGAATGTTTGCAGTTATCACACATTTCCATCATTAGAGAAGAAAGATCTTATTAGCTACCCATGAAGATAAATCACCTTATTTTTAGTGTCTTCTTTTTGATAGGTATGGTTTTGTTTATATTATTCATGAGCTGAATAATGGAAATAATGTTGTTTTTGTGATTTCAACCACCCTCCAGTTATCAGTTTCTTTTCTGTTTAACCAGATATGGAAAGTTCAGTTTTCAAGAAAAAGATAAAATATGTGGCAATATGATCTATTATTATAGTGGTCTCCAAAAATTTTTGATTATGCATTCCTATGGATAAAATATTTTATGCATGAGTAGCACAAACATGTATATTTATTTATAAATTATATATATGCAGTAACACTGTACTGCTAATAATATATACTATAAAACATTGACGAAATTAGAAATTAAAAAGACCAAATTAACAGAGCAAACATTTAGTCATTTTATCCCCTTTATATTTAGTAAAAATATTTTCATTGGTAATGTGGATAGAATTTATAATTTTTGAAATACTTTGTGATAAAATGATTCAAAGTTATGATTCTAAGTTTAATTTAAATACTTGGTTTGGAATGCTGAAGACATTTCCACACCATTACGTGGCTCTAAATGTATAAAGTGCCTCATTGGCAGAATTTAATAAATCATGACACAAAGTTGTCAGTCCCTCCCAACCATTGTGCAAAGGTTTTGTTGAAATTTAACACGTGACTTTCCATCTTCCCTGATTTCAATTGGTTATCCTTGCAAACCAAGTGGAATGTGTTTCATTTTATATGTTTTTTAAAGAAGTGTGTTTAGGGGCACCTGGGTGGCTCAGTCGGTTAGGCGTATGATTTCAGCTCAGGTCATGATCTCAAGGTTTGTGGGTTTGAGCCCCACCTTGGGTTCTGTGCTGACAATGCAGACCCACTTCAGATACTCTATCCCCCTCTCTCTGCCCCTTTCGTGCTTGTGCTCTCTCTCAAAAATAAATAAACATTTAAAAAACATTAAAAGAAGTATGTTCAAAATCAACCAAACATGATAGTTAATCCTTTCCCCCCAGTTTTTATGTGTGCATGTCTAAGCACTTTTATAGGTAAGATGCAACATTTTCAGTAAAACACAAGAAAATCCAAACACCTCATGATGGACCTGTTGCTAAACATATTTTCAAAGTCTTCTCTCCATGGTATGAACTTTATTTAAAAAGCGCCTAATTTCTTACACTTTGAAGAGACAGGGTATGTATGTGTGTTTGTGTGTATTAAATATCTTCTAAGAAAGATACTGTTTTTTGCTTCACTTGGTAAATTTGCTTTAGTCAGTAGCAGTGAAGTGTCAGTTCTGTTATTACCTTACTCTTCCTTTACTTGGTCATTACTGTCCTTGGCATATTAGAGTTATCTCCGAATTGTGGTTTTAAAATTTGTGTTTTGCAGGATTCTTCTCAGTTCCTTTAGTGATTTCGGGGAGACTTTGTTTAGTTTTAGAACTAGATAATAAAATCTTTAAATCCAGTTGAAACTGCACATTGTTGAAATCTACTCAGAACAAGTAAAAGTGTTACTGCCCTTCCCCTCTTCCCTCAAGATACCTTTACAAACATTGTGTGGGACCAGCTGACATAAAACCAAACAAGGTACCAATGCCAATCCATTTATTAAATAGTAACAAAACACTTCCTTCTAAAAAATACTCTTTATGAGAAGAAAACATATAGAGTGATATCCAAGTATTTGAGTATTCACAATTAATTACTGTGAATCCCTCCCTGGAATGCACAACCCCATTTTGGAGACCACTGTGAGCCTCTGACTACAATGATGTCTTTATTTTGTATCCTTAAGACTTGGCACAGGAACCAACAGATAGAATGCATCTTTTATTTATTCATTCAAAGAACATTTCATTGTCAAGTATGTTATCAAATTGGGTTTTTTTTGGCATTAAGTAATGATCAATGCTTTTTTTTTTTTTAAGCTTATTTATTTTAAGAGAGAGGGCCTGTGCATAAGCAGGGGAAGGGCAAAGAGAGGGAGAGAGAATCCCAAGCAGGCTCTGTGCTGTTAGCATAGGGTCCATCTTTGGGCTCAACCTCATGAACTATGAAATCATGACCTGAGCTGAAATCAAGAGACAGACGCTTAGCCGACTGAGCCACCCAGGCACCCCAATAATTAATGCTTGTTAAATGGATGTAACTGAAATGAATTTTACCCAGAAGCCCTGATGGTTTAAGTGATATGATAAAATTAATCTCAAATGGGTATTGTTTTCTTTCTCTTCCTATGAGCTAGTTTGTTCATGGGACTATAATTAGATATATTTTGGAAAAAGTGGCAATTGTTTGCAGAATTTATTGCATTATCACACCTGATAACAAAGGGGAGTTTCAACAGTTCAGTTGATCCCAGGTATGAATCCTGAGTGAAATCTTTTGTTTTATTGACAGAGACCCATCCCATTTAGTCAGAATGCGCTCATGGTTTTGATACATATATTTTGCAAACTGGTGCTTTCAATATTTCTAGATGGCCTTATTCATTTTTTTCACTCATTCAACAACAGTTTTTCAGTAACTTTTTTGCTGCAAACCCCTTCTATAACGCACTGGGTACAATGGTGAGAGAAAATAAACAGTCCTTGCCATTATGGAGCTTACATTTAATGGCAGCAGACAAGCACCAATCAAGTTATCATCCACATTTAAGTAAAATTACAACTGATAAGTACAGAAATACAGTAGAGGAATTTGATCCAGTCAATATTAGAGAGGTTTCTTGGAGGAAATGCTGGTGGAGTTGAGATTGTTAGGAAGAATCAAAGTTAGCTAGTTGAAGAGGAAGGAAAAAGCCTCACAAGTGAAGTGAATGGCACATGCAAAGTCCTGAGGTGGGAACACACAGGTGTGTTTCAGGAATGAAAGAAGGCCAGTGCACCTGTAGCATAGAGAGCAAGGAGGCTAGGGAGCCAGAATGGCCAGACCATGCATGTCTTGTTAGTGGTCTTTATCATAAATAATGGGAAGTTGCTGAAGTGTTTTAAACAAAAGGATAATATAATCAGATTTGCAATTTGAGAATAATTTCTTTTGCTGCCTATGGATATTTAGTTTTAGGGAAGAAATGCAAATCAGTTAATGCTATTTTAGTAGTTCAGAGTAGAGGTGATGGTTTGGATGGACATGGTGTTAGTAGGTATGAAGAGAAATGAATGGATTTGAGGGAAATAAAGAAGATAAAACCTGCAAGGTTGGTAATGGATTGGGTATTTGGAATGATAGAGGGCAGTAATTCAAAGATGAATTCCAGGGTTTGGGTTTGGAAAACTGAATAAATGTTGTTAATGGGGACAGGATTATTGGAAGGAGGCTAGGATGCTCTGGGGAAATCATGAGTTTGATTTGGGGCAGAATAAATTTAAGATTAATAAAAAAACAGCCAAGTGGAGACATTAGGCTGGCAGTGTGGTGAACAGATCTGAAGTACAGAAGAAAAGTCTGGGCTGGAGACAGAATGAGTCATTAGTGTACAAGTGTTGGTTGAAGTAACACTCATCAAAGAGAACATCTAAGGATAGAAAAAAACCAGTGTGAGAAAAGAGGAGAGCATAAGTCAAAGCCTTGGGGAATTTCAAAATTTAATGACAGTATAAAGGAAGGTGAGCCTATAGAGACAGAGAGGAGTGGCCAGAGAGGCAGGATAGGAAAAACAGATGAATGAATATATTGCATGAAAGTCATAAAATCATAGGCTTTTTGAGTTAGAATGTACTGTGAAAATTATCTGGTCCAATGACTTTATTTCACTGATGAGTAAACTGAGAGATAGAAAAGAGAGATGAATTGCCTCATAGAAGTTTCTGAGACTATTCTATTGCTCATGAAGGAAAACAATGTTGTCTGTGGGACAAGGACAATGATGATACTCATGTTACCATTGGGAAATGGTATGATACTTGGATTTGGAGTCAGGAGACCTTGGTTTGAATTCTGGTTCTACTACACTCCAGTTGAATGGCCTTTGACATGTTTCCTAAACTCACAACCTTTATTTTATGCATCTATAAAAATTATTTGTCAATCTATATGACTGTATAATACATGTGAAAGTGCTTTGTAAACTATAGATTAGCACCTTATTAGAGTATCAGTCATACAATGTTTTAAATGTTCAAAGTGGTTTTACAGAAGGATAAATAAATGAGATTATGGAAATCATACATCAGAAGAATTTCAAGTGAAATCTTTTCCTGCCAGGTGTTTAAATATATTATAAAACCACAGTACTCTCAATAGCTTGGTACTAAAAACTGAAATAATAAAATTATAAAAAGAAAATGAGGGTTAATATTTTAAAGAGCATTTAGAATGAATAAAGCCATTTTTAACATGACACAAAATGAGAAATCATAAAAGGGATTGATAATTTAGCTCTATAAACATATAAAATATATATGAAATATATAAAATACATATGAAATATATAAAAAAATTAAATGTTTAACATTAAAAAATCCCTACATCATAAATAGGATTGAGAGTCAAATCACATTATTAGAGAAATATATGCAATGTGAATGACAGGCAAACTTTAATATGCTAATAAGGATAAGTGGTATTTTTTTGTTTTTGTTTTTGTTCTTTTCGAATCCATATAGAATAGACAAATGCTCCAGAAAGAACATGGGCAAAGTCATGATCAGGCAATTGACAAATGAAGTCATAAAAATGACCTATTACTATATGAAAACAGATTAAATCTTAGTAATCAAAGAAATGAAAATCCAAATAATAGTGAGATATCACTTCTCACCTACTAAATTAGCAACAATTAAAATGATTTACAACATTGAGGGTTAATGCTGTGGGGAAATAAGCATACTTGTGCATACTTATGTGCTGCTGGTGAAAATGTAAACTGGAGCACTTCTGGAGTGCAGCCTAAAAATTAATCTTATTGTATATATAAACCACATCTTCTTTATCCATTTGTCAGTTGATGGACATTTAGGCTGTTGTTGAAAGTGCTGCTATAAACATTGGGAGTGGAGGAGGGCACTTGTTGGGGTGAGCACTAGGTGTTGTATGGAAACCAATTTGATAATAAATTATATTTAAAAAAAAACAAAAAATAAAAAAAAAAACAGGTACAGTTCGGGGCGCCTGGGTGGCTCAGTCTGTTAAGCATCCGACTTCGGCTCAGGTCATGATCTCACGGTTCGTGGGTTCGAGCCCCGTGTCAGGCTCTGTGCTGACAGCTCGGAGCCTGGAGCCTGTTTCAGATTTTGTGTCTCCCTCTCTCTCTGACCCTCCCCCACTTGCACTCTGTCTCTCTCTCTGTCTCAAAAATAAATAAACATTAAAAAAATTTTAAAAAATAGGTACAGTTAAAAATAAATAAATAAAAATTAATCTTAAAAATGCAGAGACCACTATATTGATATAAGCAACTGGTTGATAAATACATGGGAGAATTGACTGAAGAATTTTAAATAGTCTTCAACCATTCAACGCTTAACGCTTCACTCCTCTACTCCTTACGTGTGGCTTGCACATAGTGTCTTTCGTCCAAAGAGTATGGTATGGAAAAGAGAGGAAGTAACTTTACAGTGTAGAAACCTGACAAACACTACTTCAGCTGGGTGATCAAGTTGACAGTGATAAGTCATGTTGACAATTTAATGAACCCCCTTCATGTGATGGAGTGAAAATGATACTCTTTCTCTATGGTCGTCCTCCCCTGAACCTGTAATTCCACCCTAAGCATGAGGAAATAGTTTAGAAAGCCCAGTTATGGGATTTTACAAAATGCCTGCCCAGTACTCTGCAAAACTCTCAAGGTTCTCGAAACAAGGAAAATCTTAGGATCTGTCATAGATTCTCCTCCCAAATCACTGATTCAGCTGTTATTCTGATCTCATTAAACATTTAAATGATATACCTAACTTCCTTTGCTCTAATCCCATGCTAACTAAGCAGTTGTCCCATAAGTTGGCTTCTAGTGAGGTTTGCCTCTGGGGAAAAATGTGTTAGACAAGCCAGTGATTCAGTCCTCCAGCCATGAGAGTCCTCATTAGATTAACTTAGTGGTTCCCAAATTGTGGTCCTTGGACCATTAGCATCAGTATCACCTGGGAACTTAGAAATGGAAATTCTTCAGTTTACCCCAGACCTATTGAATCAGAGACTCTCACATCACGGCTCAGAAATTTGTGTTTTGAAAAGCCTGCCAGGTGATTTTGTTAATGTTTAAGTTTTAGAGCAACTGGATTAATTTATATTCTTAGGACTCTTTAAAAGGAAGGGTAAATAAGCAACCTTGACATTGGTCAACTCTGACTCTCTGGGTGAAAGGTCGCACACTGGTCCATGGTCATAAATGAATGCAAAGGGCCCACTTGTGAGGTTTCCTGGCAGGCCTCTTCAACTGAAAGCCCAAGCTTGCTTTGCATATTTTCTATGTGTATCATTGAGCCAAAGTAGGGTGTTGTTTAACCTATGTTATTATGGACATGCAAACATATCTTTTAACACCTGCTACCTGTGTGTTTAGTTGGATAAGAAAAAGGAAAGAAGGCAAAATGAAAAGGATTTAGAAAGGCAATCTCAAGGAGAGCAGTAATAAATGCTCAACTTGCACAAACAATAGACTTCCAGCCTTTGAAGTCATAATCATATAAAATATTAATTTATTCAAGACTCTTCTAACACTTTCCACTTATGACTTAAAAAATGTAAAGAAGAACCAGTATACTAGCAAATTAACTTGGAAAAATCACAAAGAAACATATCTTTCAGTATTCAGGGAAGAAAACAATATAGAGCATCTGGCAATTACAGATATATCACAAAATATCAGATTTATTATCAAATTTGTTTGATGATGGGATAAAGAGCAAAGAGAAATATTAACTTACCATAGATTCAATTCTTCCACTCAAATCCCTATATTCCTGTGTAGCTGGTGAATTTAACTGATTACTGTATTTGACATTTAGGATTTGAAAGCTGCTATGATAAAAATAAGACTTTTGATCTGTAAAACAAAGAAAAGGCAGAATCAATCTCACTGCTAAGTACTTTAATCTTTAGTTTATTCAGGATTATGGGAGGCTATCTTACACAATTTAAAAAAAGTTGCTTCTCTTAAAACTCCAAACTTACTATAAATGTAACTATAATAAAATTATTCATCTCTCTCTTTTTTAAATTGACAAAGCTGAAAATTTAAAGATGTAGGAAAATCAGAGCAGCATCATTTGTGAAATCAAACTGCTCAGAAGTGTCATAATTTTCATTTTTACTATATTTTTGGGAGATTTGTGATTGCAGATTTATTCAAGAAATATTAATGAATGTCTATAATATGCTATTATTCATTTATCCCTAAGGAATACCCAAAATAATTCTGAATAGTTTTTAAAATTATTTCAAATAATAATCATTTTAGGGGTATTATTGACTTGTCATTAGTTTTTTAGACTAAAACTAGAAAATAAGCCTTTGAACAGGATATCTAATTGGTTGTCCAGTGTGAATTGTTTTCATCAAAAAAAGTCTTCCAGAGGACATATTCAGCTGTGTGAGGAAAATAAAGACTCCCAAAACACACTGTATACATCTTAGAAACATTATGAACAAGGGCATAACCTAACCTGTCTCAGGAAAATCCCTGCTTTCTTTTGATCATTCATATGCGATAACTAATGCAGAGAAATACTTCAATCAGGAGAAAGAGTTGGAGATCCTGGTGGAAGGGTAATGTATTCCTTTGTAGTGGAAGGACAAGTCTTTGAAGGGCTGTAAATGGTCACCCTCTGAAGAGGATTAACCTAGGTTCTGTTTGTGTGACAATATAGTACCATCAAAAGTGAAAATTCATTAATTTAATTGGAAACTTGAGATTTCTTTTTCCTGCCTCTGTAGTTCACCTAAGACATAGTTGACTCTGGGTGATTTGATAGCAAAATGTAGCAACAACTTTGTAATTAGATTGGCTGAGAAATATTATTCCTCATTACTGTTTTTTCTAATGTTGGTAATTTTATTGTGCCGCTAGGAGTTTTTCAACTCTCAAATAAGCATTTTTGCCCATTTACAATAGAACATACAATAAGTTATGTTCTCTCTTTCTCTCCATATTCATGGATACCCACATACCTACACCCACACATATGATTTAAATGACTTAGCACAATTGTAGCTGAAATAAAATAACCTCAAAGTGCATTTATAAGTGATAAAATCAGATTATAGCCTATGTTATCTAGTGAAATTTGACATATTTACGTTAAAACATCTGAAAGGGATGTTCACTGAAATATTAAGGAGCATTGTTTATGAATGAGCAGGGTATATGTGTTCTTTATATTGTTTCTTGTCCATATGTTCTACATTTTTGTTATAATAGAGAAAAGTAAAAGAACAGATCTTTTTAAAAATTTGTTTTTTTTCCCTTATCTTTCATAACTCTTCTCTTAACTAAGACTGTTTTATCAGGAAATAGATCATGAATTAACAAATAACTAGGTACATCCAATTTTTAGGTGTTGAAACTTAAAGTTCTTTGCAATATTTCACTTCTACAGTTTTATCAGGTTATTATATGAAGAAGGAAATCATGACATTAAGTGAAAAAATACAGTAAGTAAATTCTAATGTCAGAAAAGAATCAAGAGACGTTTTTCCTTTGGCTAGAGTAATTCTTGCCTGGGTAATAATGTTTATTTAAAAAAAACAAAAGAGACAGAGAAGAGAAAAGTACTGATTGAGGGAATATATAGACACAAACATGTCTTTAGAGATATAGAAGACCCTCAATTAGGTTATATTAGAAAATAAAAGTGGCAATAAAAGAATGACAGACTTGTCATCTGAAGGTGTATTTAGTTATTTGGTCTAAAAAGTGGTACTTTTAGTCTCCTAGTACTTACCAAAGGCTAAAAAGTGGATGAGTAGAGCTATGGTCACTGCCAGGATTACCACTCCTGCCACAACAACGAAACCCACTACATAGGGATTCAGGAATCTTGAGGCTGATGGTACCCGTGCTGGCCTTAGAACAAGAGAAAATGATCAAAGACTAATTCTTTCACTTAGAGAAGCCATGATTTCAGTTCTCATGATCATTATTGCCTCCCCAAGTCTTTTAGCCTATATGTGGTTCTATTTATAGGAAACTGCAGTGATTATTGATCAGAACATAATCCTGGAAATGAACCTGAACTAACATTCTCCTTAATAATTTTTCTTTCAAATTTCTTTCAGCACAGAACTGTTGACATTTTGGTAGTTGATAGAAAAATAAGTAAATCTGACCTATGCTTTGCACTTACTTTCCCTTCTTCTGTCAGTTGATGAAGTTCTCAAGAATAACAGCTAATTGTTCTGTTTTGCTGTAAGTTTTTCTAAGACCCTATGTTGGACACTTACTGTAGTAACCTCCCATAACTGGGCACCGTCCCAGTGGTGTATAGAAGATTAATCATTTTGGGTGGGGAGTGGGGGGAAGGGAGTCAGAACAGTAGCATTCCTCACTGTCATATTCTCCATATTATTAAAAGTGGGGTGTGAACAGAGGATAAGTGTTGAGATCCAGAAAGAGTAGCAAGCCCCTGAAATGAAGAACTATACCAGCAGCAGATTTGCATGATTTATCATTTTTCCCCCATGAATTTGTCAACTTCAGTGTGAGTCAAAAGATTTGTACTAATAGAGTACATGGTATTATATTGAGTATATAGTCCAGATGCTATCTTCTTCACCTACCCACAACCACATATACTTGCACGAGGGAGGTAACCAGAAGGGCTAAGTGTGAATTTCTGTTTTATCCCTTGTGTGCTTGGAGATCACACTGTCATTAATCTGAGAGTTTCCTAGTCTGACAAATGGAATTAATAGTATCTGCCTCACAAGCCATTTTGAAGATCAATGAAGTTATGTTATGAAATATATTTCTAGTTAAATAGGTTACCACTAGGCTGTGTGCCTTTGGAGGGAAGAGATAGTGTGCATGCTTATGTTTCAGACACTTTGCAGGTTGCCTGGCATAAATAGGTGATAAATACTTATGATATTTATAAATACTTGTTGCATGTGTTAACTTATAAGCATGTGTCAGATTTAAAAGACTTAACAGAGCTGAAAAGCAGTTACATTTAGCCAGAATATAGTCTTTCATTTTTCCTATTTGTTTTGCCAACATTCTGGTATAAGTGTGAAAAGAATGCTCTGAGGGTCAGTGATTCCCAGACATTTAGGTTTCATTGCAGGGTTGCCTGATCTTGTTTGGGCTCTGCATAACTCAGAAACTTACAGAAGGGCACTTCCTTCTATTTTGCAATGTACCACCTGCACATTGTATTCTGTGGTTCTGGGACCAGTAACATTTCAAAAGATTATTGGAGGCAGACCTAGACTTGCCAACCTTCAATTCTGGTGAATAAACATGTTAAAAAAAAAATAACCATGCTCAAACCTTATCATTTAAAGAAAGGACACTGAAGTACCTAGAAGTAGGAAGGACATAATCTCAGGCTATCAGAAAATAAATAACTTGGCTTTAGCCTTATGATACCTGTTTACTCTATTGCTCTTCCTTTGTTCATTTTGCTATACTGGTGAAAACTGACTGTCACTGATGCTGGTCCAGAGTCCAGTATTTGGAAACCACTACTGTGGTAAACTTCAAGTTGGAGAAAATTGGCACTTTGACATTTGCTGATTTTTGAGACTCCATTTACTCATCTTCTACCTTAGGTGGTCACTGTACCAATGACATGCGATCACAAATTCAGAGTTTGGCATTTGTGATTTCAGAAAATGTTAGTGGCTGCTGAGTAGTGGCAGAGCCAAAAGGAGACAGGTTTGGAGTCTAGGGTAAACCCAAAAACCTAATGGATTTTGGACCAATGGATTGACCCTTCTCCTCAACCAGAGATGAACTAATGTGTTAAGATTTGTGAGTGTGGAGGGAGAAGTACTGAAAGATTAGGAGTAGGTTGGAGGCTGAAAAGAAAAGCCAAAGGCTCAAGTCAGCATATACTTTAGCTTGGATGAGCCTCCCATGGGAATGACTTTAGCACCAACTTTGCTTCAGTTCAAGGAAAACACGTTAAACTCAATGACTAAAAAGCACCATGAAACATATGACTCAATAAATAAAGGGTGTGGAGCTCGTCATCTAATCTCACAAGCCGTAATTAATTGCATAAGAATGGGTTGTTCCACCCTGTAGAAACAGCTGAAGAAATATCTTTCTTGTTGATAGTGAACCTTGTCATTGAACCCCTCTGCATGTGGCTGGTTACAAAGCTTATGCCAACACAGTCTAAATTGTGCACAATATTTACTTTGTAAACTAGTAGAGAAAACATGTTTGTAAACACTGAATTTTTACTCAATGCAATGGAAATCTGTGCAAGAAAATACTTTGCTTTCAAAGCTTGTTCCTGATTAGTGAGATTTTTAGTGCTTGCATTTAAACAGCAAAACAGATAATTCAGTTGTAACATGTTTAAACATCTTCCCCCTCTCTTTGCTCTCTTTTATTGACTTGAAAACGTTATGTTAATGTTGGAAAATGTATTCCATACTTTTATCATGAGAGTCTAAGTGTCAGGCATTGTACATGTATATTGCCAATCTTCACAGTTGTAAAGCAGGTATTATGAACCCTGTTTTGAACATAGGAGAACTGAGGGTCAGAGAGTAAATAACTAAAAATTACTCAGGAATGGCAGAGCTGAAAACTGAAACTAGGTTTGTTTGAATCAAAGCACATGCTCTTCCTTTCATATACACCTCCTCCCTCACACTACAGGAGATAGGAAAGCTTTGGGACTTCTGTCTCTTCTGACTTCACTTGGGGGAAGCAAAGGGGATCAACATATACTGAGAGGTAGGACTTTAGTAAGTGTGCAATAAAATAATTGTTGATTTAATTTTAATTTGAAAGTAAGTCTTACATTAATATATCAAATTTATATAAGACTACTGTAGTAATTAATCTTTGCTATTGACACATACTTACAACCATTATAGGGCTGTGGATTAATAGAGCCATTGGGAATAATTTCCATTATCTGAAAGAATGGAGGAAAACAGTGACAGGGTAACTGCAAATTCAGATGCACATGATATGTATATAAAGGACTTTTAGACAATTTTGTGTCCTTTTAAATAAGATTTCAGATATCTTAGTAACAAAGGTTTGGTCCACAGTTGTCTTCTCCTACGAAGCATTCTTCCTGAGTAATCATACTTTATGTCATGGTTTTAGCAAACGTTCTATAGGATAATATTTTCTAGGATAGATCTTTAGCCCAGACCTCTGTTTTTGAGTTCCATGCCATTACTGCCAATTATCACCAGACATCTTATGGATGTTTTAAAACCTCCTTAAATATAACAGTTCAGTTCAAAACTGAATTTTCTCCCCAGCACTACACTTACTCTGCACTGTTTCTAAAATTGGTGAATGTCACTGCTATCTACCTTGTATTCTAAGTTGGAGACCTAGGCATTAGCTGCACCTGGCTCCCTCTTAGTCACTTTCCACATTCAAGAGATCACCAAACAGTGCTTATCTTATACCTAATTTTTTTTTCCTATTTTAATCTATTTTGTTCTTAATTTTGACTGTTATCATCTGACTTATATTGCTTGAAATGCCTCTTAACTGGTCTCCCTTCTTCCATTAACTACTCAATTATTAATTAGTTAATGCAAGAAGAAACCAGGAGAAGAATGATTTTGGCAGAGGGAACAGCAGGCTCTGAGCCAGGAGCTCACCTGGTAAATCTGAAGAAGAGCAAGGGGGCAGCTGGACTGGGGTGGAATGAGCGAGGTAGAGGGCATGAGAGGGAGATAAGATAAGAGTAGGAGTCAGCGGTGGGGCAGATCTTTTAGGGCTTTTCATGTAAGGGCTTAGGTCTGCCTTCTGAGTCAAATAAAAAGTCTTTGAGGTTTTGAGCAAAGGAGTGACATCAGATCTATTTCTTTAATAGGATCGCTCTGGGTGATAGGATGGAGGGTAGATAACTTGTCATTCAGTAGTTGAGGTGGGACACGATACTAGTTGAGACAAGCATGGGAGCAGTGGAGGTGGTAAGAGAAATGTCAGAGTTTGGATATATTTTTAATTTAGACCCTAGAGGATTTGCTGATGATTCATTTATGAGATATGGGAAAGGAAGGGCTCTAGACTGAATTCAGGATTTTTGTTTCTTTCTAATCAACCCTTTAAAATCCTTCCAGGGACTTTTTGAATTTAAATCTTAGGTTCTGACTTTCTCCCCCTCCCCTATCTCATTTGAAAATTTATCTACAGCTTGTCAAGCTCCTCAGGATGGCATCCAAACCTTCCACGTGGCATTGAAAGCTCTTCATAGTCACCTCTGCAGCTTCATCTTCTGTCGTATCCTCATGTGCCCGCTTAACCCCAGCCAGACCAAATGGGACAGCCACGTCAGTGTGATGACCCTTTGTCTAGAAAATGTGATACCTCAACTTCCTGGCAGATTCCCCTTTTATTCTGAAGATAATTTAACCATCTTTATTTTCCCTCCAGGTAGATGCCTTTTTCTCCCCTAGCTTCCCCTCATCTGATCTCATAATGTCCAATGAATTTCCCTCTTCTAGTCCTTATCCCTTCATGTGGGAAACAACGATCTTCTTCCCTGCACCCACCTCCAGGCTGTATCTTATGAAAAGTAGACCTGCATCTTGTCTGTCAGGACATGCCCCATCCCTAGCATAATACCCATCCCAGAGTCGGCATCAGGTTTGTTTATGGAAAAAAATGATGAGTGACACTGCAAAGAAGGATTTAAAAATAATTTATAGTTTGGAAGGACTTCATATAGGATTGTGTGATGTGCATTTTTATTTTAAATACTGACAAAATGTAGATTGGAGAATAATCTCTGCCATCTAATGAGTGCTTACCATGTACCTGGCACTGTATTGACTTTTTCTACATCATTGAATTTAATCCTTGTAAATAACCCTAGTTTACAGATGATGAAATAGAGGCTTACTTACTCAGCTAGTAAATGACAGAGCTGGAATGTGAATCCAGGTCTGTCAAGCTCAAACTGCAAATGTCCACATCAGATGGGAGGAGATTTTTATGTTAATTATCATGTTGTTGTTATCCATTTCTATCCCCTACCTTATTGCTGATGCTAAGAAATGGAAAGTTCAAAATATTTCTATAGACTTTGTGTTATAGGATATACAAACACGTATATTTGAATATATATGTGTGTGTATTTACATTATGCATTGGAGTTATGAAGACTCTGAAATGGTTCCACTAGGCAGGCAGTAGACATCTAATTCAACGTTTTAATTTTTTTAGGTTGAGAAACACTTTGTTCAAACAAGGTCTTGCTTGCAGGTTCAATAATGGAAAACAGATTAAATGGAATAGCTTTTCTGTTTGAATTTGGGATGGGAGAAAAGGATCCCCTGCTCCTATTTCCAGTAAATTTTCACTGATCTAGTCCAACATTTTTATTTCTTCCTTCCTTCCTTCCTTCCTTCCTTCCTTCCTTCCTTCCTTTCTTTCTTTCTTTCTTTCTTTCTTTCTTTCTTTCTTTCTTTCTTTCTTTCTTTCTTAAATTTTTCTGTTCTTGATAAACTTAGGCGCAAGAAAGAGAGACACAAGAGGATTATTCCCGTTACACAACTAGATGATGGCAGAGTCATTGACACAGTTTTAAGACTTCTTGAATATATTTATTTCATTAAACCATGGTGCATTCTGAAAACTCTAGGTTAATTTGGAAGATAAGAATCTTATCCTTGAATCACAAACCCACACCACTTTATGTCTGTGTACCTTTGGAATGCACTACGTGACTTTCTTTTAAATCAATGATTTACTTGCCAATTTATTTTTCTCTTGGGTAGCATTGAAATAAGTTTATATTCCTTGGAGATATAAATCACTTTATGCTTCCTGAGGCTACAGAGGCTGGGCAAGTGGTGGAGGACCTGAGCTAACTTATGTAATACTTTGGTGAGAATTAGGAAAAGGCAGCTTTTCTGGGACACAGAGACAATTATGAAAGCTGCTCCTTGGGCTGCATGCAGCAACACTCTGGGACAGACAGCTTGCCAGGGAGTACAGCCTCCATCTCAGCTTCCAATCTTCCCCCAAGCCATGCAATTAAGTATTAAGTAACTTCACAACTGTATATAGCAGACCTGAAATGATGTGCTGAAGTCCTGGAATCTGTTATTTGTAGGGAAAGTCAATCCAGGATTCAAATTCTTCTCACCAAATTTGCAAGTTCATATGAACAAATGACTAATAGGTAGAGGTGTGTGTGTGTGTGTGTGTGTGTGTGTGTGTGTGTGTGTGTGTGTGTGTGTGTTTGAAGTCGTGGAGTTGGGAGTTGATGGTTTGTAAGACCCTGCTGCCAATAAATCTAAGAGTGTGGTCTCAATTCCTTCACTGGCTTGTTAAGTTTTTTCTTCTTTCTTAGGACTCAGGCTATACTCTGGAACTCAGCCTCTTTTAAATAAATTGAGGTCATAGAATGAATCCCATGAGAGAGTATGGCCCCAAGAGGAAAAATCTACCTTTACTGTTGAGGGAAAAAATAAATGCCTTTCCTAATGGTGCTCTATTCATACTTTGTCTAACTGGTCTTAAACTTGAAGGATTCATTTTCATATACTGGAAGTCCATGGGCATTCTTTTTTCATTTTATTTATTATAGCATTGAAATGTATTTCAAGATAAGTTATCACAATTATTAACTGATTTAGAAAATTTCACTGGGTCCTAGTGATTGAGGCTGCATTAAACAACTACTAGAGAAAGAAAATATTGTAAATTATAGTTCATCATAGTGTATTAAATATTTGGACACTGCTAAGTTGAAAAATAGTTTCAATTTTGTAATATTTTCAGTTTTGTTAATAGTGTTCACTTTATGTTTCTGTAATAAGTAAGGCAGGCATTTAAATTTTTGTAATTAAAAATTATTTCTTCTTTTGTGAGATTTCCTTTGTTCTAACATCAGCCATGTTTTTGAAATAGAAGATTTGAGATATGAAAGATTCCTTTGACTTTAAACTTCTGAGCGTAGTGTTCAATTCTCTCATTGTAAAAGAGTTCTAAGGGGAATATGGAAAAAGACATGCAGTTAGGAGATTTACACTGTAGAATCAGTCTTGTGTAATTATTAATAGAAGATGTCTGAAGACTCCTGACTTACAGAGTCAGTTAAGGACTTGGAGGCATATTCTGTTTACTGCCCTGCTATACTTAATATACACTCGCTTTTATAAGGAAAGTAATCTTTGCTGGAACTCTACAGCTGCCCAAAGGGTGGGTTCTTGCTTCCATCACTGAGATTATGGAGCCTTCTCAGTGTGCAAATGGGCACAGTGGCATTATGGTAGATGGTAGCGTGGTATATAAAGGTGAGCTACCTAGGTGATTTGAAAACAACAGAACAGATGGAAATATTTCTTCTCAAACTTCATGATGCTGACATTTTAAGTGTATTTCTCTAGAAATCATCAAATCCACAAAGTTATGGGAGCAATGTTTTGTTGATTCAATCACTGCAGAATATACGCCTAGTGTTTCACCAACAGTCATGACAGAGAAATTCCTGACCTAGGTTACCTATCTCCTTGATAATTAATGTTAGGGAGAACCTAGTGTACTATAGAGGGCACTGCTGTTCAATGTTAGTATTCCTTCTGAGTTCTAGAAAGTGTAATTATTGACAGAGCTATTGAACCTAGAGCAGGTTCTAAGCAAGAAACAATTATTTAGTTGAAGATTTGTTTCCTTGTCTATTTTCTTCCAAATAGAATTTTTTTACCTATCTGGTTTGAGTTTTCAATAAACAAGTTTTATTTTCTGCCTTCATTCTCTTCTTTCCCTTCTTTTCCTTTCCTTTTTTTCCTTATTTTTGGCTGAAGATCTGTAACCTTTATTGGCACCAACATTATTTGCCAACTTTCTGAAAATTACAAGGAAATATTCATGGCAGTATAAATATGTGATATTTTATTGTCAAAGTGCTCTTTGGGAAATGAGTAGTTTAAAAAATTTAAACTTAAATGTATCTGTTGCAGTGATGAAAATGTTCCGAAATTGGATTTTGGTGTTGGTTGTACAACTCCATAAATATGCCAGTAACCACTGAATCATACACTTAAACAGGTGATATTTATGTTCTGGAATTACATCTCAATAAAGCTGTTAAAAAATTATATCCATATTTTATTGATTATTAACTTATTGCAGTAACATAATTACCAAACTGTCAGAGAATAATTGACAGAGTGGCTTAAACTCACAGAAGCAGAAAAGTTCTCAATAATCCATTCAGTTCAAGTTTCTTTTTTTAAAAAAAAATTTTATTTTCTTTATTTTTGAGAGGCCAAGAGAGACAGAAAGCATGTGGGGGAGGGGCAGAGAGAGAGGGAGACACAGAATCAGAAGCAGGCTCCAGGCTCTGAGCTGCCAGCACAGAGCCCAATGCAAGGCCTGAACTCACGAACCATGAGATCAAGACCTGAGCCGAAGTCAGTCGCTCAACCGACTGAGCCACCCAGGCGCCCCAATTCAGTTCAAGTTTCAATGCCATTGCCATGCAATTCTCAGTGAAGTATTGGAATACAGTGGTGTATTATTGTTGATAGCAAGTGATTTGTTACAAATAATAGTTAAAACATCAGAGTTTTGAAATAATTTACTTCTTAACACAATTTAGAGTCGATAATTCTGGCATAACATTCCTCTTTCTGATTTGCGTTTTCTTATATTTTTGGGTGGAGTTACAAGTAGTGCATGGTGAATTGCTTATAAGCCTGGTTAGATCCCT